ATAGTCCTCGTGTAGCTTTGCGCGAAATTCAAAACAAACAAACAAATTAAGAAAAGATTAATTAATATTATAAAATAATAAAAATCGTTGAAAACTACTAAAATGTAAATAAATAAGACAATTTTTAAGATATTAAATGGTAAGAATTTTGTAAATTGTCTTAGTAATTTTTGTAAAACGAGAGCTCTCCTTCAGATTATACAAATTTAAAATTACATACGGTATGAATTCTCAAAATTACATGTTGTAAATAAAGGAACTCAGAGGGAGCACTGAGGCTTCTCATGTATTGAGAAAAAAAGAAGAAACTTTATACATCTTAAAATATATGGTTATAAAAGCAAATTATAGCATTACGAATATAATGTAGAAAATGATACACATCAAACCGCTCTTTTTATAGGGTGCAATACAAGTTTCTATAATCATCATTCTAAAGTAGGAAAAACCAAGAGAAAGCGTTTTATCTTGCAATAAAAATTATGGAATTTTAAATCATTTACTATGCTACAATTGTTAATATGAACTTATAATGAAGCATTTTACAAAAAGCAGTTTCAAAAGGAATATAATTAGAGTTAATATTAATAAAGGTTTAGCTTTTATTAAAGTTTTTCTTTTTGTAACAATAAAAAGAACGGAGCTTAACATCATAGTTCACTGACAAGAGGATACGCAACAGGGCTAAGTTTATTATTTTTTTCCATTTCATGTGCTAACTTTAAGTTTCATTGGTTTAGTATAGAATATTATACCAAAAATATATTATTAAGGTGCCTATGGAAATATATTTTTCTTTTTTTTTAAAAAAAAAGTGAGAGAGAACTAATTCTGAATTCTAAATGGCTTTTCAGTGTCATTTTTTTGGTAAAAAAGTTTAACAAATTTAAGGGAGAACAGAAAATTTTCTCCGTTTATTTTATCATTTATGTGTTTATTGTAGTTGTTGAAGCTAACACTTGAAATAATTTCAACGAAGTATTTATTAAAATGAGGAACAAATTAAAACTTCCTAGGAAGATGACACTTCAAAAGAAGACATGCATTTTGGTTCTGGAATGCATTCCCACATGCCTAAATGCATTATATAATATATTTACATATAGACAATAAGGAACAGTTTGGTACTTCAGGGCTGTCCTTTCACACCCATCCTTTAGAAAATACGTTTTAAACAAACTATTGTTCAGGAAATCATATATTCCACTATTATTAGTATTAAACTCCTATAAAGTGTTAGTCTCAACTATGCCATTGACAACTCACTCCATAAGTTAACCCTGTTGGAAAGATAAAATAGTCGTAAATGGAGCCAGCATAGTTGCCTTTTCTAAATTTTAAACTTGTATCCTATTGTCTTCAGGATAAAGCACAAATAAAATAGTAGCCTTCGTCCTATGTGGACTATCTTGTAAACTTTAATAAGATCACCCCTTTCTCTTCTTAAGTGAAAATGAGAGATCTTAACCAAGTTATACCTATAAGGTTACCCTTTCAGTAAGTCAATATCCTTTCTTATATAAAACCAAAAAAGCACTCAGTGTTCCAAGTAAACCTAACTTGTGATTTGTATAGAGGTAATTACATCTTTTTGACTTGTAATCAGCATGTCTATAAATACATCCTAAAATTCTGTTAGCTTTACTAACAGCAACAGAGCATTGCCTATGGCCTAAAGTAGCTTATCCACCATGCCAATATTCTTTTCTTCAGTCAAATATTCTTTTCTCGCTATCTGTATAAATATGTGATCCAAATTATGATAATCCACATACATAACTTTGTACTTACTATAATTAAAGCCCAATTCATGAGTCATCATACACCTCAACATTCTAAAAAGCACTAGAAATATCATCAGCAAACATTACTAATTATCTGCCTATCGATATCATTAATGTAAATAAGAAAAATGAAAGATCCAAGCACTAGTAACAAGGGCCCACTTTGACTGGACTCTATGCTTTCTTCTATCAAACCACCCTACAATCCAATTAAATAGTCTTTCCCCAACCCCTACTAATGTGATTTTCTTGGATACTCTTGTGAGGCACCAGATCAAAAGCTTTTTGAAATCCAAGTACACAAAGTTCATGCTTTTCCATCTTCCTGATAACAAGTAACATCCTTGAAAAAAAGAGAAGATTAATAAGGCAAGATTTACCTTTGATGAATTCATGTTGGATTTCAATTATGATATATTGCATCAAATGATTTTTTAAAGCTACTTTTATCAAGACTCTAGAATTTTCCAACTATAGAAGTAGGACTAATTGTCCTATAATTTCTTGGGCAACTCTTATCATTCCTTTAAAGTAATATAACATTCCAACCAAATGAGCAAAACCAAACTAAATAAAGCCTTTAATGCTCATAAACCTACCCTACAAAAATTCAAACTAACAATAACTATAAGATCACTGTATAATAAATCATTCAATGAGTTTATAATGGTGAAATATTGTTCAATAAAAAACAAGACTGGATCTAGATTTAAACTTGTTACCCTAGATATTCATGATTTCATATCTGACTCTTAATTTCATTCTGTGAAAAATAACCAATCATAGGAAGCTAATCACAACTTCTAATATTTGTGAATACTAAATCAAATTAGGCTAATGGACGAATTTAACTTGGGGGGAGCCAACACTTTACGGGGTGACTCTCTGTTTAGACTCTCTCTTTAGCTGCAGCCCTGATTATTTTTAAGAACACATGAATATAAGTAATGAAACAATTACACTTTGCATGTTATTTACATCAAGCATCATATCCAAACTATAAGTTTCTTTTATCAGCTTAAATTTCTCAAACCAGGTAACCAAGTTGTCTTTCTCTACCCTTTTTTTTTTCAAACATGTTGATGACAATCCAGTAATGTGACATAGAAACTGTGCAAAGACCACCAAGTGAAGCCTGATCAGGATCTTGCTATGATCTTCATGCTCTTTTAGTTCAAAATGTACCTCAATTCATCCCTATACCTAATCAACAAAATTTTATTTTAAAGAAATTTAAAGTAACAGCACACTCCTTCTACATCAAGTAGTCATACCCAAACTTTACAGCTCTTAACAGAGAAATCATTTATGTTCCCATTTTTAAAATTTAATATCTCAACACTCAAATAATTTATTCTGTGAGCAGTTTATCAAAATCCAGGAAAAAATGACACCAGTAATAATGCAAAGTGATAAAAATGCCACTATTTTTTTCGAAAAGAAAGATTGTATATATTTTTGTGTAATGTTTTCTTACCTTGCATTATTAGTGGTACATTCTTTGCCCCACATACTGCTCCATGCACCATTATTGGTAACTTTATCAGAAATATTATTATGGGATGCCAATTATTCAAACTTCCAACAACTATATATAACTGACTTAAAATGTTGTTTACTTCTTTATCATAGAAAAATAAATTAAGTGTTAAATTAAGATACTTTATAACTTAAAATTATATATTTTTTAAAAGGAATCTTTATTGAAGGTTATTTGTACACTCTTTCTAACATGTTGGCATCTTTACTTTAGTAAGGTAGATGGAATAATATTCCAAATGAAGCTTCACCAGAAACATTCCATTCAGTGTATCCCTAGCCTCATATCAGGTGTTTTCACCACAGCCATAGTTAACAGGCTTTCATTAGTCATCCAACTCAAGATGTTTTTTTCTACAAGACCAACATTATTTTCTCATAAAAAGTATTTTTCCAAATTTTTTTTTACCAAAAGGCATCATTTATATTTCTCATTACTGAAACTAATAAAACAATATTGTAAGCTTTGATTGATATAATACAGTGAATCAAATACTGTAATATGAAACATTAATAAATCCTTTATTAATCTCTTGATATCATTACATAACAGTAACACCTTTTTGTATTTTTTGACCAATTTAACTTTAGTAGATAGCTTAGAATTATATTTATATATATATGTGTGTGTGAGTGAATCTACCATTTAATATTTACAATGGTATATACTGCCATTTCTGAAATACTCACAGAATCATTTGCCTGTTTTAATTCATTTCTAGCTCTCCTGTATAATGTACCAAAAATATAATAATGTATTTACGTATTATAATACTTTGCAACATAAATATTTTTCCATATACTTATTTAGATAATGATTTTAATACAGTAACATTGCAATTATATAACCTTACCTCTTTCTTTGATAATTTTAAATGTATATTTGTTTTGCATTAAAGAAACATTTATATTACAGCCATTTTGTTTAAAACTGAAGTAGCTTTATGAATGAGCTTCACCAAAACCTTTACAGCTTTATTTTTCTAATAGGGTGGTTGGCATTTGGAATTGGTTGCTTAAGGGAAGGCTTGATAAGTATTTGATAAGTTTCATTTAGTAGATGGGATGGCCTAGATGGACCATTAGGTCCCTTGTTATTCATAAATTATATTGTTACATCTGTGTTCGTTTGCTAATTTTCCGTAAAAAATTCTTTCCGAAGAAACTTTAGCAATACAAGTCCTTTCTTAAATAAAACTAGTTTATTCTTTCTCAATACAACTTTACAATACACTTAATTTCCACAGTCACACTATAACTTAAACAAACGCTATAATTCACATCGAACGATTCATGTGCTTGACTCAATTGTCCGTCTCTATCTCTGTCTGCAATTCAATTCCATTCAATTTGTCTCACGTTATCTGGCGCACTTATATACAGGAATAGAAGGCGCCTAGCACATACTGGATTATTCATGATGTTCCCTGATCCTTCTAGAATATCATGACGTGCTACCAGCATCACATGACTACCACTGTCATAACAATATTTATGTATGTATCCATCTATGTAACATCAAAAATTGATTTGGAGATCAGTTAGTTCAAAAAAAGAAAAAGGCATGAAATTATAAAGTGTGTGCTTTACTAAGAAATGATGAGTGTCAATGTTTTTTCCACTCCATTTATATGATGTTATTTAAATTAAATTGAGTAACAGTGAAATCAGAAATGTGAAACAACTTTTAATTTTTCCACTCTGCAAAAGGAAGGCATTAAGTACACAACTATTTTATGGTGAAACATGAGTTACAGCAAAGGAAGTAATACACTTGTTTATATTGTATTCCAAAGTAGAATATTTTATCATGTATTAATTGTAGCTAAAAAACATATTATTGTACTTGCTAAATTATTTATTATGAATTCATTTCTAAAAAGCATATGAGATAGCAATTTCTTTTATTATGTTATGGCTTTTTTTTTCAATTCATGTATTATTCTTTCTGTTGTTTAGTTCAACCATGAAGTTTTAGTTACATTAAAGTGCCAACTCAAATTCTATCTAGAGCAAATTGATTTTGAGTATGTTAGTATTATGGAATTGATACAAGCTTCCCCTAGTGGTGATGTTCAAATATTAAAGTTGTGAAATATTATGTAAATTAGATAATCACATGAAATCTAACCTCTTGGTCTAACCAATAAATAAAAATCCTTTGATCTTAAAAATGGGTTAGTTCATGAGATATAGTTAGAAAGAATTATTCCTTGATATCGTTATTGATATTGAAAAGTGGTACAATATATAGTTAGAACGAATTATTGCTTGATATCATTATTGATATTGAGAATTTGTTTAATTTTGAAACATTGTTATTCTCTGGTGTATTAGGTTTTTTATTTGTCTGGTTCTTTTTTCTAATTTCTTAGATGTTTATTGAAATTGATCACATTGAGATTTATATTGTATTTTTTATTAACAGTTGTACCTCATCCTGGCCAGTCACAAGTTTACTAATTGTTTTTGTAAGTGATAAAATTTGTATTCTAGTTGTTTGAAAGTTTTTTTTTTTCTGTTGTTATATTTAATAAATTGTTTTTCCTTGACTCTGGTTGTAGCAACGTTTTCTTTAGTCCATTGCAATCAATTGTTTATTACATTATTATTTATCAATTCTACATGTGAATTAAATGACATTGGAATTTTTTTTAAATTATTTTATGATAAACAGTTAACTTTAGTAAGAAAGTCTGAAAAAAACTGCTACAGCATAAACTATAAATTTAAACTTCTTATTAAATAAATTTTTTCCCTTGTATGAAAGCTGGTGTTTTCAATGCTAGTACATAGATCTACATCCTTTTATATGGTGAACAGTAGTCTATTGAGAGCATTTCAGAAATTCAGACTAAAGAAAGTCATTCTCTTGTTGCTGCTATGAACGCTCTGCCACTTAGACGAGAAAGTCACGTCATTAGTTGTACTTGCTCTAGAAAGAAAGGTTATGGTATAGAGTGATATGCTAACCACATCTGTGCATGAAGATTGAGGAAATACCTGGGAGCAGTCAATTATTATTCAGACAGTTGAATATTTATATATTTGTTAACTTTATTCTATTGTTATTTAGTAAAGCTGATAAAATTCTCAAAAATATTTCAAGCACTTCAGTCTATGAACCACATACTCTTGCTTGTTACATATTAAATCTTTTGACTGATCTCCAAATTTCAAGCCCACATTCACTTTCAATACTACCAATAGTTCATTTAGGGCTTTTCTGTGTATTATTTTTTAAATATTCAGTACATTATTTTCAGGGTATATATATATATAATTCATGTATGGACACACTTTTTTTTTCACTTGATGAATTATCTGTATAGGTAGTATAGGTGATAGAAGGTCATATGACTTCTTGAGGTCACCTTTATCTACCATATCAAACTAAACAATTAACGTAGTCAGAAGCCATTCAGTAAACATTTAAAACAAATAAGCTACAGACATAAGATCATCAGGTCAACCATTTGACATAAAGCTTTTAACTTTCAAGTTGTTTGGCACTAACTAAAACAGAATGTGAAATTGCAAGATCATAGCACAGTTTGAGTGCCAAGAAAGAAAAAAAAGGCTCCACGAGGAAAAATGATGACCTAATTGTATGAGAAACGAAGCTCCCAGTGTAAAGATAAAGCAGAATCAGGCTTTTGAAGTAAAACGTAAAAAGTAGGAAGATGCTTGAAATGTAAGATAAAATAAGAAAAACAACATAGAGAATGTCTGCTAATCAATGGCAAATGGTGAGAATAAATTTTCTTTTCAAATAAAAAAACTTTTATGTGAAATATTCATGTTCACAGTGTTGATATATAAATGTCTTTACTGTATAATTAGATGGGGTCTCTTATGAACTATTGGTGAGTATTGGAAAAACACTAGTTGATTGGACTGTAAGGTGGCTGAGTGATAGAAAGCAAAAATGTGTTATTAATGGATTCCAGTCAAACCTCATCTTTGTTACTTGTGCTGTGCCTCACTAGTAGGTAATTAGGCCTTTTTCTCATTTCCCTTATTTCTATCGATAGGGACATAATCATTAAGTTAGTAGAGTTGGGTGTTTCTAGCTGTATTGAGAATAAGGTAATACAGAATGATTTGGTTTGATTGGTAAGTTGGTAAAATGCTTGGCAACTGACCTTTTATTATAGCAAATGCTAGTTAATGTATTTTTGTTATTTAGTTTTCATCATATGATAATTTAGACGCATATACATTCAGTAGGTGACTAAAGAAAAGGATCTTGGCATAGTGGTAGATAGCTGGGTAATTAGTGAAATTTGTTTATCAATTAATTGTTAAGCTCATTCAACAAATTAGGTATCTTCATGAGACTTGGGGAGTTGGAACAGTTGAAATAGTAATAATCAGAAATACTAATATCAATTATTTTTTTTGTTTTTGAGCCATGACACTGATTAGTTAATTTAAACAACCTTGAATTAATTGAAATTTATAAAGAAAATTCATAATTACAATATTTCAATTACTTGGATAGTTGAAAACAGCAATAATGGAAACAATAATTTCAATTGGTTTATTTTCATGACATTAATTTATTTAATCGTAATTTTGATTATTCAGTTATTTCACGTGACAGTAATTGATACTCGTAGATAATCAATCATCCAGCTCTAGTGGAAGATAAATCATTCAAGCCATCAACGCAGTGATCTGTTGCTAATAGTAAAGCTAAAGAATTTTAGGATGTAGTGATAGTCATATCATTTATATATGAAAAAAAAAGGTAATTATTTTCTTACATAAATCACTAGTAGGCTTCACGTGGAATATTGTGTACAGTTTTGACCTGATTATCTAAGAAGTGATATTGAAAAGGATTCAAAAGAGGGCTACAAGGATGTAACCAGGAATGAAAAAAATTGTCTTTTGGGGATATGTTAAGATCACTTATCTTAATTTCATTTGAGAAAATAAGGGCAAGAGGTGACTGGTTGAATTTAACAAGATTATCTGGCTGGGAATGGGGAGGTCAGTAAGATAAAAGCCCTTGCCTGATTTCTTTGTGTGCTGTACCCTGGAAACCAGAGGAGCAAACAGACTATGTTCCAGTTAAGACAGTTTTAATTATTTTTTCCAACAGGGTGATTAGCTTGTGGGATTATTCACTATCTATAGCAGTACATACACTATTTTAATAATCCCAAATCCATGTATAAACTTTTAATTAAATATACTTAAAGTATTTATCTGTATTGGAAACCAATAAGTTAATCAAAATAACAGTGGAAATTTAATAATATGAAAAGTAAAACGCACCTCACTTATTTTTGTTTGTATAATTTTTATTATTAAACCACCATAGATAACGACAGTATTTTGTTTTTTGACTGTGCCTTCCAAAACATTTTAGCTGCATGACGGAAGAGATCAGTAGTACTAGAGGACAGCACCTTACTCAAATTTAAGGGAGGAATCATGCAGTGAATTCCTGAAAAGTAAAGGCCAGGTTTAAAAGTTTTATATTCCTGAGAGATGGGTGTGCAAGGAGAGCCTCGAAAGGCAAATGGTATCTTGTTGCTATATGTTCGTAACTATGTAGGAAGAAAGGCAAAAAAAAAAAAGAAGACATGGTTAGCAATGGTTCAAAAGATTAACCACACATCCATCTAGACATACAATACTGGCCATGAATTTCAATTTGAAACTGTTATTACAGCATTGGATTACTTTGTTGAGCTATCATTTGGAGTGTGCAGTTAGAAAAAATAAATAGGGCTAATGGTGATACCTAGGTTAAAGAAAGTAGGCATTAAGAAGCTCAGTTTTGGACTTATTATTTAAAGCTAAAAGAAATATTATACGATTCAAGTTTTCAAAACTGTTAGAATTATAGTCTTCTTGTGTTTAAATGTATTAGTAGAACGGAAAATCTTTTAATACAAAGTTGAACACTGGGTGGAGGGAGTTATAGGTTCAAACTATATATATTTCTTATTTCTATGACAAAATAACGTTTTTTGTTACAGAATAATAATAATTTTAGTTTAAATAATTCTAAATTTTTCTTGGATGTGTTATATGAATATGTGGAAGGCCATGCTATTTTACTTGGAATTGAAGAAGAGCACGAAAACTTCATTCAAAAATACATCGAGGAATACCAATGTGTTGAAGGCAAGTATCGAGATATTTACTTGACTACCACAGTTATCAGGCAATTACTTATAGTTATATCTGCACAGAACCGCTCTTAATTTTTTTTTATTATTATTCAAATACAAACGTTTAGCTCATAGCTCCGTCATCACTTGACCGATTTTAGATCTAATCATAGTTTGGGACTCAGGTGGTCATACCCTTTCGACTGATTATTTGACCACGCCCAAGGGCTCGCTAACTAATTTACTTTAATCCTGCCTAAAATAATTTCAATTTGAGGGTAGGCTAGTAGAGATCCTGATAAGTAATAAAATTGAATCGGGTATACGCGCCTCATGCTTAGTATTGCTGGCGGCCAAAAATATAGCTAATAAAAAGGAAAAATGGGTCTTGAAGATTAATTTACTATAATCCTGTCGCGGCTCTTGAGGATTCCTTCTTGTTTTTGTTTTTTTTACCTCTGACTAATTAAACCACGAGGAGCCCTAACTCGGCACAAATAAGTTTTAACTTAGTGTCTATATAAGATTAAAGTTTATATAAGTTAAAGACTGCTGATCTGCACGAAATCTTTGTGTCACGTAAATACCTTTTGAAATACATAAGCCTAACAACGTTAATATTATGAAGGATAATTAGCAACTACAAGTTTGAAGTAGTGGACTGGAACTTAATTCTCATGCCACAACAAAGGTTTAACAAACCTACTCTAAAGATTACTGTATCCGAGGGTCTAAAAATCGCCTGAAATTTGGTGTTTAAGAATTTATTTTACTGAGTGCGAGAATAAATCAAATGCAACCTTTAATTAGAGCACCTATTTCACCGTTTCTAACGTTACTGAGTATGTGTGTTTGTATATATTAATTAATGAATACATATATTTATGTCACTGAGTTATCAACTACGGTTTTTAATTAATTATTTGTTTCTCTTTAAACAATCGGTAATAGTTCCCCTTTGTTTGCCATAGAAACATCACCTGTTGTGAAATAGCAATTTCTGTTTTATTTTTAGTTATCATTTAGTTGAGCTACATTTTTATTTGTCTTAAACGCTAGCTCACCTGCTACGTTATGCGTATTAAGTATTAAATTTCAAAAGTCAATTTTACATTAAGACACCCACACAAGCAATCGGAACATCGCTTGGGCTTTCCCGTCGCAAATGTGAGTAGATAGTCATGCGACACGTAATTTGAAAGACTTGATGTTAGACTGACCATTCTCTATTCTTGCATCATTCTAAAAAATATCGAAACGAGGCTATTAACCCATCGCGTATAGGCCTATCGTAAACAAAAAATAGCGACTACAAACAAGGACTTGAGGGATCCTGGAAGGACAAGTAATTCAGCTGCTGTACCCGCTTTTTCAATGGGTGACGTTACTGCAATCGTTCAGGGACATTCAAAAGTGTCTACAAAACACCTCACTAAAGGCTTCAAATTATTCCATGTGTCATACATACATGATATTAAAGGTAGGTCATCTGCCATATTTTGTGTCATAAACACAGGCCTAAAACTGTATGTCTGGAACGTTCTACATTCATCATCGTATTTATAATATTTTATTTCGATATCAATTGTTAATTATTTAGTATTGTATGTACATAATGTGCCGATTAAATTTCAATAGTAGTTTAATATACAGTACTAGGTGCCAGTGGGGGAGTGGTTACGTGTACTCACTTTAGGCCTATGCTTTGAAAGGGGGATGGGGCGACACAGTGTTAACGGGCCATTTGAACTTTATTCACAATAATGTTATATTTTTAAGTGCAGATATTATATAGATTAGCTAGGACTATTGAATACAAAGGCCTCTTTAGCACAATAACTTTCCTAAATATGTTTAAAATTCCATATAGACTTATTATACTATTATAGGTCTAGGCCCAATTACTAGTATTACCCTAAGCCTATGTAAATTTGCAGTTTAGCTTTGCATTATTTACCTAAAACAGAGGTTCTTCATCACGCCGCTTCTTTACAAGCCACTGCTTCCTTTTGTTAGCATCTGTAGGTAGCTGTGGAAGAGAAAGATTTGTTGTATCATGTGTCATTATTGCACATCGGAACACAATAGTTTTACGATGCCATTGTGTTTTTTTTGTTTGTTTGTTTACGTTAAGAGTCTTCTTCTCAATTCAGGATGGCGGGCGCATGATATCTGTGTACATCCTATAAACTTTCAAAAGTACTAAAGAGGTGGTTGGTTATTTGGTTGTTTTGAATTTCGCGCAAAGCTGCACGAGGGCTATCTGCGCTAGCCGTCCCTAATTTAGCAGTGTAAGACTAGAGGGAAGGCAGCTAGTCATCACCACCCACCGCCAACTCTTGGGCTACTCTTTTACCAACGAATAGTGGGATTGACCGTCATGTTATAACACCCCCACGGCTGAAAGGGCGAGCATGTTTGGTGTGACGGGGATTCGTACCCGCAGATTGCAAGTCGAGCCCTAACCACCTGGCCATGTCGGGCCAAGTAAAGAGGAGGAGAGAAATTTACTATTTCCGAATACTCCTTCTTGTTTTGTAACCTAAAGACCTGGCATAGATGAACGAACATTAGACTGTTGGATTAGAGATTTGTGAGACTCTGATGTAAAATATATGTTATTTTTTAAAATATATTATTACAAATAGTCGCTTGTTCTTTTATTTGTGATTTAACAATGTTCTTGAAGAATGGTCTAAAATTGTTATTTTTAACCCTTCTTTTGCGGCTTGTGTAAATCTGCTTACTAACCCATGCGCAAAGATTCGCGAATTTTTGCGGCGGGCCATTCAAAACCGCACTCGCCTACACTAACATCACATGATATCAACCGCAGTTAAAGGGTTAATAATCTTACGAATAAGGTTTTTCTTGTTCTGGTTCATGTTTTCTTATTGCTATTATTATTTTATGTGGGTTATTATTAACAAAGTTGTTTTTTTTGTATTTGAGTTTGATTTGGAGATTGCCATATTTTTTAACAATGTCCTGACCAGGCATTACTTCATTATTGATTGATTGTGTTTTTAAAGCTTGTATAGTGATGAAAAATTAATTTTTCTTTCCCTGTTAGCTACATGACTGAATTGATACAAAACATAGCTAACGTCGTATTTGATATTATATTGAACTAAATTTTCAATTTTATAATTTAGTTGTTTGCTAGAGAGGGCTGTCACATAATGATAATGCTAGATTTAGAAAGTTGACCTAGAATACATAGAAAGTTCGTGAATGTTAGCGATCGAGACTTCTTAAAATATCTAGAAACAGGGATTCATCATAAATACGATAATAGGGTTATCATCTTGGAAATGCAAAAACCAAAAGCAAAAAACAGCGCCTCTCCCCTTGAAAAAACAGACACCAAACAGTGAATTACATGACTAAATAAAATAAGTATGACAATACGCTATAGAGATATATTACAACTGCAACTTATAGTAGTATATTTTCAAACTCACATACCGCTGTGCCACTGGGGTGGGGTGGGGGGTTGAAATGTGATAACAATGCAAAAAAAAAAAACTGAAAGGCCACTGGTCAGGTAGCAATTCTAAATTAAGTGAAGCATTGAGCCAGTTTCAATTTGTTCAGTAATTGAAAAGTTAATGAAGTTTTCACATTAGTGTTCATTATTGCATATATTCAGTTACCCGACCAATTAGCTGTAAAACTATACAAGTAAGTTTATTTGCATAGCAGTCATAGTATCATTAGTGAATAAATTTCTATTGAAAGCGAAAGCGTTATTTGTGAACATAGGCCTATAACTATGTACAAGTGATAGTAGTCTGTACCAAACGTTAAGGACGAAATAAATTAACTTGTTAGCATTACATGGATTGGACTTTACATTATGTTCACAAAATTGTTTAAAAAGAACCCACCCAACGAAAGAACACATCACAATATAACAATAAAGAATTAATTCATTTATTTGATAAAAGATGATACAGCCATATTCACTTTTAAGCTGAGTTTCATAAATAAACTTTTCACCATAAACTACAGAGTAATGTAAGCCTAACTTACAATACAACATTCCAACACGCTAACTCAACCAGTGACTAAATAGATGCGATAAATATGGCTGCTAACACTGGACTGCATCACTGATTGACTAATTCACTGATTCTTCTACTTATATCATACTTGTTTACTCGTTACCACATTAAATTGCAAGATCATAACATCTTTATCATTACTCGATGACAAGCTACATTTAGCAAACATTCAAGTTAAAATATTAAAGTATAGATTACAACATTATCACATTTTGTAATTTTATGTCCCTGGCCCCTTTATTTTAACTTGGCTATTTTTGTACGCTTAAAATATTTTGATCAGACATTAATATTCTTGGGCTCATTTTATGTCTATAAGTTGAATTTTAAACTTTATATTTCTTTAAGCTATGTTTTTTATTATCTTAATTTATCTTAAATATGACCTATTTTAGATTTATTAAAATTTTTCTTGACTGATTTACTTACTATGAGTCAGAGACCCACAATACTGGCTATTGTTTTATAAGTGTTATGGGGTCTGGTTATAATACGTTGGATTACATACAGTTTTGGTTAATTTATTAAATTTCCGACTATTATAAGAGTTATTTTTGAAAATAGTAGTTTATGAAAACAACATAATTTTAAAAACTTTTTAAAACTAAAGCAACTAGAGGGAAGGGATATAGTCAACACCACCCACCGCCAATTCTTGGGCTAGTCTTTTACTAACGAATAGAGAGATTGACCATCACATTATAACGCCCTCACAGCCAAAAGAGCAAGTATGTTCGGTGTGACGGGGATTCGAACCCGCGACTCGCAGATTGCGAGTTGAGCGCCCTAACGACCAAGCCTAGATATTTTGGAATTCGGCATCTTTCGTCAGTAATTTCAATAACAAACTGATAGGAATACGTGAATACACTTCCAACGTATATAGTATCTTCATATGAGTATATCGACGTGTATACTTGTAATAATAAATTAGTATTTTTATTTTACATAAATTGTGAGAATATAATATGTACACCAGGGGTCGTTGTGTAAATTGGTATGTCCGTGAATCATGTGTTGAACTTAGAAGTCGATTGTATCATCTTGATAAATCATTACACTTGAAGTTAAATGTGTATGAAATTATTTAGTATGAAAATGAAATGGTTTAGTGTTATGTAAAATAAATAATGAGTTACAGCTTTCGGTTAAACAGAAATAACTGTTTGCTGCTTAAACATTAATACTAATTATTGTAGAATATGTCTATAGTATAGTTGCAACCTATTGGAATAATATAATCAGACACTAGACACCCCTTCCTTATCATCAGTCGTACTTGTAACGAACGTCAAAAGTTTACGTTAGGCTTGATCAGTTGATGTAAAAATTGTTAATAATGGAGGGATTCGACGAAGCATTTTATAACCGGCAGCTTTATGCAATTGGTTATGATGCTATGCGAAGTCTTTCAGGTACGAGTGTTTTACTTTGTGGCTTTGGGGGACTTGGGATTGAGATTGCTAAAAACCTTGTTCTATTAGGAATTAAACAGCTAACAATAAACGTCAAAAGTTTCAGAGCAGCAGACACTGCAAGAATACATTCTATTTCATTTCTTGATTCAGGCAATGCCAATGTGTCTTCAAAAACTTTTATTTGGAAAAGGAAACTTCAGGAATTAAATTCAGATGTAACAATCACAATAACAGAAAAAAGTGAAGAAAATCTTCTTGACTGTGAGTGGTTAAGTTGTTTTCAGTGTGTGATATTAACAGAAACACAGTTAGACACACAAATTGCTATAAACAAACTGTGTAGAAGTAAAAACTACCCTATTCCATGTATAGTTACAGATGTGTTTGGTTTCTGTGCTTCTATATTTTGTGACTTTGGTGAATCATTCACTGTAGTTGATGCAGATGGAGAAGAGCTGAAAGAAGTCCAAATTGGAAACATTGCAGTAACAGATGATTTAATAATTATTTTTACAGTAGATAGCAAACATCATGGTTTTGATACAGGGGTAAAAGTAATTTTAAGTGACATTGTTGGAATGGAAGCATTAAATGGAACAGTTGTTTCAGTTAATGTACTTTCACCATCAGCTTTTTCCATTGTCACAAATAGTGGTAAGTCTCCAAGAGACTATGGAAATTATGTGAGAGGTGGACTTTGTAGACAAGTGCAAAAACCAAAGTCTGTGTATTTTGAATCCATTGAAACACAGATTTGGAAGCCAACTTTCAGTACTTCAAACATGACTGTGCCAGATATTGTAGAAAACATTCATGTTGGATTACTTACTACCCATTTTTTTTACAAAAAAGAAGGAAGACTTCCAAGAATCAGATGTGAGCATGATAGTAAGTATTTCCTTGAAATGGCAATGGATGTAAATTCCAAACTAGAAAAACCAGTTGAATTTCTTCATAAAAACTTTTTACAGATGTTGTCATTTACAGCAAGGGGTCAGGTAACTCCTCTTTTAGCTTTTCTTGGTGGTGTTGTAGGTCAAGAGGTACTAAAAGCTGTTACAAAAAAGTTTACTCCTATACAGCAGTGGTTTCATTTTGAAGTACAAGAAGTGTGTTCTAGCTCAGATGATCCTGATAACTTTGTGCTAAAAAATGATAACCAAGACTCTCTCAGAATATGTATTGGTAACAGATTGTGTGAAATGTTGGCAGAAACAAAGTTGTTTATAGTAGGATGTGGAGCTGTTGGATGTGAAATCATAAAAAATTGTGCACTGTTAGGAGTGGCTTCTGGTGGTGGTAAACTAACATTAACAGATCATGACCTGATTGAAAAATCTAATTTGAATAGGCAATTTCTTTTTCGAAATCACCATATTAGGCAACCAAAAAGCATGATTGCTGCTAAAGCAGTACAGGAAATAGATCCATCAATAAACATAGAATGTCATCAGTTAAAAGTTTGTGTTGAAACAGATCTTTTTAATGATGAATTTTTTAACCAGCAAGACCTTATAGTAAATGCCCTTGACAACTTAGAGTCAAGGCGATACATGGACAAACGCTGTGTTGAAAATTGCAAACCTTTATTAGAGTCTGGTACGATGGGTAGTAAGGGTCATGTTCAGGTTATTATTCCAAATTTAACAGAACATTATTCTGCACAGTCTGATCCTAGTAATGAAGAATATCCCCTTTGCACCATTAAGTCTTTTCCTTCGCAATTGGAACACACGGTACAGTGGGCACTTGACAAATTCACGAGGTTGTTGTATCAAAAACCTATAATGTGGAATCAGTTCTGGATTAAAAATAGACATGTGCAAGATATATTAGTGAAGTTAGAGTCTGGAGATCCTGTAGAAAATATTTTTTGTGTTGCAAAATTTTTAAAGGTAAGACCTTATTCTTTTGAGGATTGTGTTAGAATTAGCAGGATACAGTTTGAAAAATATTTTAATCACAAAGCATTGCAGTTGCTTGGGGTTTTCCCTTTAGATTCAAAGCTTCGGAATGGCACATTTTTCTGGCAGTCACCAAAACGACCTCCTAAACCTCTAAATTTTTCTTGGGAGGATGAACAGCACAGATTATTTGTTATTTCAATGTCCAAACTGTTAGCTACTATATGGGGTATACCATTAACTTCTGCAGACACAAATTTAGACAATATACAGCAGATTACATCTACAGTAAAGGTACCAGACTTTTATTTGGACCCTCAGAAACACATTGAAATTGATGAAAAAGCTAAGGTACCTTCCATAACTTTTAAGCATCAGGATGAAATGAATAAAATGACTCTAAAGGCTTTAATAACTAACAAAATGTCTCATGATATGAATGAAATTTTTCTTGTGTCTCCTATCCACTACAACAAAGACGATTATACAGAGGGTCATGTTGACTTTGTTACAGCTGCAGCAAATCTCCGAGCTCAGATGTATGGCATTCAGCAAGCTTCCAGAACTAGAATTAAGCAGATTGCTGGCAAAATCATACCTGCTCTTGCCACAACTACTTCTGCTGTAGGAGGCCTCATGGCTTTGGAATTAATAAAAATTGTGAAAGGCTTAAAAGAGATTGAACATTACAGAAATTACTTCCTAAACCTTGCAATTGCATCATTTGTACCATCCCAACCAGCTCCACCTCAGGTCCAGAAGTTAGGTACTGATATTTTGTTTACAGTTTGGGATCGATGGGAAATCAATGGGTATCCAAAAATGACTCTTCAAGATTTCCTGGATGCTCTACAAAAACAAACTGGATTGCATCCAAGCATGGTTGTTAAAGAAGCAAAAATGATATGGGTATACATGATGCCAAATCATAATAAAAGAAAAACTAAAACTATGAAACATCTGATAAAACCTTCTGATCAACAAAAATATGCTGACTTAACTGTCGCATTCCAACTGGCAACAGGCGATGAAGCTTTAGGGCCAATTGTGAGGTACTACTTCAATCTTCGTTCAAAAAAGTGAACTCAATAACGGAAGAATAAATTGGTGCTGAGTATTTCCACTAGATTTTATATGTTTTTCTATGTATTTTTGTGTATTGTAGGTTTCTATACATAGACTGTTATGACAATAATCTTGTGATCAGATCAAGTGACTGTTTTTTTATAGTATTTCTTTAGTTTGAAGTGACAAGAAAAAGGCTTAATAATTAGAAGAAAAGGTTCAAAAAGCAGTGTTGCTGTAATTATCAGTAAAATATTGTAATTAAAAAGACACTGAGAGGTTTTATTTAAGGTTATGTACTTGCATAATAATAATAATGGTGTGGTAAAATAGTTAGTTTCATGAAAATGGTACATTTTATAATTTTCCTTTAGCAGTTTTTAGGTGTAAGTGAAGAAGTACAACAACTGTTATGTTGAAAAACAGATAATTAAACAGTGTTATAACATTGAATAATTTGTTTTTCTATACACACATTTCCTGAAAAAATTGTCAAACTGTGCTTTTTCAACAGTTCCAGAATACTTACAAAACTGTTAAAATATAATTATAGTAATGTTAGTTGAGAGGAGATGATGATATCAAATTACTTTTTGTATGAGAAACATGTCTATATCAAGGATGAAGAAGAGTGAGTAGAAATACACTAGTTTTGTACTGTTGACTATCTGATGTGTGTGTGTGTGTATGTGAATATCAAGATATTAATAGTTCATTAAAACAGTAAAGTCTGAGTATTAAAATATTCAGAATTGGTTTTATGTAAAATCTAATGTTTAGAACTCTTAACATTTTATTTTTTCTGACAGTGAAATTTTACATTCAGTGGCATTGGTTTCATTTCTATTTTATTTTTTTGATGTTGATGTTTTACGATATGAGTATTTGTTAGCACCAATGTCTGATATTGGTCACTGTCCAAAATTTGTCATTAAATCGTGATTTGACCATGTGAAAAAAAGCTCAATCCAGATTGCAGTTTGATCAAACATCTTGACTGCTGGTTGCTTATGGTCTTTGGTGCCAACATATGTATATCTCTCTCAAAATTCCAAATTTATGCAAAGTGTAGCTACTTATTCAGTAGCTACCTGACGAGTCACTGATAAGTTTGTGGGTTTATAATGCTAATAGTAGGAGTTTGATACCTACAGTAGGTACAGCACAGATGCTCCAATGTATATATTGGCACTTGAAAACAGAAAAAAGAAACCTTTCTTAGTAATATAAATTAGTCTTAAACGTTTGATTTGTAATTATTTTATGCATTGTTTATTTCACAATTTTGTGCTCTGTATCCTAATAGAAAATTCAGCTTAAATATGTTCAATAATAAAACATATTCTTGCTTTGAAATACTATACCAGTAGAAACAACAGCTTAGCATAGTATTTCAGGTGAAGAGTACAAGTGTACTGCTCTATGTCACAGTGTCACTCTTACTATTTACTTTTTGTATGTTTTTTGCAAGACAGAGTAATCTGAATGTTATTTTGTTGAATGTGATAATTTTAAAGTAAAATTAAACCTTAAACTGTTTGGTGTTTTTTTCAGCACAATACTTAGAATGTGATGTTATAAAATGGTATTATTGTTTGAAAGATAAAGGTAAACTACTTTTTTAATTGTTTAAAAACAAAATATGAAACTTTTAATGAGCTTGAATTTGTCAAACTGAAAAAACTATAATTTCTAGTTACGTATGGCCAAAAAAAAAATTTGGTCTGTTGTACTTTTCATACTTGGTTTCCTACCTAAAAGCATGCACTTTTTGTGATTATATTCTTATTAACCACTGTTTTACTAACATGTTTTGTTATATGTACTGAACTATAAAGAGTTAAGAGGTATGATAAAATTTTATATGAATTTATATACATTATTATGTGTTGGCATTCAAAATGCTCAAGTTTAGAAACTTAACTATGTATGTTCCTTTTAAGTGTAAAGGAAATGTGATAAACCTAAAGTTTTTTTGAAAACTGAGATAATCTTGGAGTTAGCTTTAGGGAAGGATGTTCAGTGCAATAGTGCATAAATCTAAGGAAAGTTTATCAAACTAGTACCACAGAGAAAAGTCTGAGAACTTACATAGGTAACCAGTTGTATCCCGGTGCAATTAAAATATTGGATTTTATTCAAAATGAAAAAAAAATAATATCTGTAAACTTGCAGAATAAAGTTATTGGGATGGTGAGTTATTTGAAAATATGCATTTCTGTCTTCTTGTAATATTATAGTCTTTATTTTTTGTTCTCTATGTGTGCAGGTTTTACATAACGTGGTCAAGAAAGTCATTAAGTTGATTTTGTTCAAATCTAACTTTGTTCATTTTGTTACTCTAAAAATGGACAATACCTTTTCTGCCCAGGAAGGATATTATTGTGTAAGAATGTCAACAGCAGCGTCCTTCAATGATTGTTCAGGTGATATCCTGAGGGTATATCCCTACCTGTGTTGTAATGAGAATGACCATTTGTATGGGTAGAACTGTCATCCTGGATAGATGTATGATTTCTTGCATGCTTAAAAATGTTACATTTGGTTAGTCTGTATAGTCTGGAATATTCCTTGAGTTGGACTAGTGAGGATGAAAGAAAGAGTCGGCCACTGAAATATCTAGTCAGAGTGACAGTCCGTTCTGTTTATTCAAGAAAGTACGCATTGTGTTTGTTTATGATATCTTAATAAAATTATTCATTTTGTATTACACTTTGTTGCCAGTCTCGTTAATTAATCTTACATCGACTTGGTTAACAAGAGAATTAGTATTTCTTTGTAATTGATATCATCATTGGAGTTGGGCAGTTAGAGGAATTTGCTAATAGATTAATCATCGAGCTTATCAATCTATTACATTCAACTAATCAATATTCTCACACAAGGCTTGGATAGTTGAAATAATTAAAAATTGTAAAAAATGAGAAACACAAATTTTGTTAGTTGATTACCGTATTTTTATGTACCCTTATTTTGAAGACAAAGTTTTTGGGGAAAAAAAGCTACAGTCGCATTTGAAAGATTTTTATTGAACAAAAATTCAATTTGATACTTTAAAAATTAGTATATATTGTTCTAAACACAAAAGAGCTCAAAACATCAAAATAAGAAAATATTGTAAATAAATATTTAGTTTGGTTCAAAACCTACAAAATCTTCATTGCTTTCAGTATAAGTAGTTATATTTTTAAAAGAAAAAACTACTATTGTTATA